GTAAGGCCTTGGGGAGTGCTGTTGAACAGGAGGATGATTAGGTGCAGGTTCATAGTTCCTTGAAAGTGGCGTCGCAATTAGACAGGGTGGTGCCTCTATTGGTCACAGCATTGAGTACTGCAGTTGGGAAATCATGTTGCAGAGACATTGGTGAGGCAAGTTTAGAATACCGCGTACAATTCTGGTCACCCTGCTATAGGAAGCACGTTGTTGATCGAGAAAGGGTACAGAAAGGAAGGATTGAATTACAGGGAGAGGATGGACAGGCTGAGACTTCTTTCTCTGGAGTGTTGGAAGCTGAGGGTGACCTTAGATGTGCAGAAGACACTGAAAGTCTGCAGAGGGATATAGATAGTCTAAGTGAGCGGGCAAAGGTCTGGCAGATGGAGTACAATGTTGATAAGTGTGAGTCATCCATTTTGGTAGGAATAACAGCAAAATGGACTATGTTTTAAATGGTAAAAAATTGCAGCACGCTGCTGTGCAGGGGGACTTGGGTTTCCTTGTGCATGAATCGCTGAAGGTGGGATTGCAGGTGCAGGTGATTAAAAAGGCAAATGGAATTTTGTCTGCCATTGCTCGAGGGATGGAGTTTAAAAACAGGGAGGCTATGCTGCAGCTGTATAGGGTCCTGGTGAGGCCACACCTGGAGTACTGTGTGCAGTTTTGGTCTCCTTACTTGAGAAGAGATGTACTAGCACTGGAGGGGGTGCAGAGGAGATTCACTCGGTTGATTCCAGAGTTGAGGGGGTTGGATTATGAGGAAAGACTGAGTAGGCTGGGCTTATATTCATTGGAATTCAGAAGAATGAGGGGAGATCTTATAGAAACATAAGATTATAAAGGGAATAGATAAAGTGGAGGCAGGGAGGTTGTTTCTGCTAGCAGGTGAAACTAGGACTAGAGGGCATTGCCTCAAAATAAAGGGAAGCAAATGTAGGACTGAGGTCAGGAGGAACTTCTTCACCCAAAGGGTTGTGAATCTGTGGAATTCCCTGCCCAGTGAAGTGGTTGAAGCTACCTCACTGAATGTTTTCAACGCAAGGCTAGATAAATTTTTGACCAGTAAAGGAATTAAGGGTTATGGTGAGTGGGCGGGTAAGTGGAGCTGAGTCTCGAAGATCAGCCATGATCTTATTAAATGGCGGGGCAGGCTCGAGGGGCCAGATGGCCTACTCCTGCTCCTAGTTCTTATGTTCTTATAAAGGCTTATAAAATCATGAGGGGCATAGAAAAGGTGAATAACCAAGGTCTTTTACCATGGGTAGCAGAGTCCAAAACTAGACAACATAGGTTTAAGGTGAGAGGGGAAAGATTTAAAAGGGACTTGAGGGGCAGCGTTTTCACGGAGGGTGATGAGTGTGTGGAACGAGCTGCCAGAGGAAGTTGTGGAGGCTGGTACAATTTCAAGGACATTTGACAAGTACGTTAATAGGACAGGTTTAGAGGGAGATGTGCCAAATGCAGACAAGTGAGGCTAGTTCACTTTAGAATACCTGGTCGGCATGGACAAATTGGACCAAAGAGTCTGTTTCTATGCTGTATGATTCTATGCAGGCATGCTACATTCTTGTGCAGTAGCACACCAAAGTTTGGAAAAATCTGCTGGTAGAGCTGATCACAGAATCATTAAGGTGCAGTAGGCCATTGACTTCATCTAGCCTGTACTAGTTATATTACCTAGTGTCAATCTCCTGCCTTTTCCCCATATCCCTGCACACAATTCCTAGCCAACTAATGCTCTCTTGAATTCTTCAATTGAACCTGCCTCCACCACATTTCCACTGATGCAGCAGTGTTTAACAAATCTCACTCACAGTATGTACATCTTCATTTATTTGTGTTATTGTGCGTTACCGTGGTGAGATCAAACAAAAATTAACATTACAGACATTTGTTAGGCCACTTTTGGAATACCGTGCGCAATTCTGTTCTTCCTGCTTAGGGAAGGATGTTGTGAAACTTGAAAGGGTTCAGAAAAGGACGTTGCTAGGGTTGGAGGGTTTGAGCTGGAGGGAGAGGCTGAATAGGCTGGGGCTATTTGCCCTGCAGCATCGCAGGCCGAGGGGTGACCTTATAGAAGCTTATAAAATCATGAGGTACATGGATAGGGTGAACAGCCAAGGTCTTTTCCCCAGGGTAGGGGAGTCCAAAACTAGAGGGCATAGGTTTAAAGTGAGAGCAGAATGATTTACAAGGAACCTAAGGGGCAACTTTTTCACGCAGAGCGTGGTGAATGTACGGAATGAGCTGCCAGAGGAAGTTGTGGAGGCTGGTACAATTACAACATTTGAAATACATCTGGATGGGTATATGAATAGGAAGGGTTTAGATGGATATGGGCCAAATGTTGGCAAACGAGACTAGATTAATTTAGGATATCTGGTCGTTATGGACGAGTTGGACCGAAGGGTCTGTTTCCGTGTTGTACAGCTCTATAACTCTATAATGCCCTGTTGAGGAGAGCAGCAAATTTCATGGTCAAACCCGTGATAGTTGAATCAAACAGCTTAGAAGGTTCCCAGATACCTTTTCCAAAAAGTGCTGAGCTCCTACTGAGCCAGCTCAGCGATTCTGCTGCAATTATTTTGGAAAAAGGGGGAATAAAAACCAGCCAGGATTTCAAGCTCACTGTACTAGAACTCACTACTGAGGGTGCATTAGACATAGATGTCAGGAAAAGAAGGATTAAGCTTGGCAGGAAAGCTCCTTCCAATTAAATAGCTTAACAAGTAGTGTCTGGGCATGCACCTGGAGAATGGCTACACAGGATAAGTGCTGAAAGCCAAGCAAAGCATCAAATCAAGAAGTCAATACCATTTAATGAAGTTCTCTAACACTCCGCCTCTGCTCTTTCAAAGTACTTCAAACTCATTACTTTGAGCAAGTTTTCAGTCACCTTCAGAATCTCTCCTTTCCCAGCATAAGGCTTGCCTGCCTTGCATACCTGAGAGGGGCCTCAGGATGGTTTAAAGTGATGTTACATCATTATTATTTAGTAAGGAGATTTATACTTTTGACACAATCCACATTTGAAATCTTATAACAGCTGCTTGAAATATAAAATTGAATTGATAGATAAAGACAGCATATGCCTGAAACAACCAGGGCTGGGATTTAATTACAGGGTATTGCCTGAAGGAAAATAAATAACTAATTAGAAAGAACTAGAAAATTTGTTTTGCATTGCCAATTTCAAAATATTTTTGTTTAAATGAATTCTGACAGTATTGCCAAATACATTGACTTGGAACAGTTCCTAACACCAGTGTATAATTAACATTAGCTTGTGCCTCGATTTACACCTAAATTTCTAGAAGTATAGAATTAGCTTGCAGGCAGCCTGCATGCCAGAAAGATACAGCACAGAAAAAGGTCCACTTAAACCACTGTACTATCTCAACAAAATCTGATTAAACCATTAGAAAAAATGATAAGCCGAATTAAAGATATCACTGCTTTTAAGTAGGTTTGGTTCAAATAACAGGAGCTAAGCACTTCTAAGCATTTCTGATGAAGGGTCTAGGCCCAAAACGTCAGCCTTCCTGCTCCTATGATGCTGCTTGGCCTGCTGTGTTCATCCAGCTCTACACCTTGTTATCTCGGATTTTCCAGCATCTGCAGTTCCTACTATTCTCGAGCTCAGCACTGCTGTCTTCCCTGAATCTGATAGACAAAGCTAAAGCACAAAGAACGGTGTTTGGCATCAATACTGATATGATTTTTGGCAACCCAGAGAGAAGATAAAACAGATCACTCATAGAACATGCAACTTTAAGTGTGCGTACAAAACTGCGAAAAATTAAAATAGCCTTTCACTAATGAAGAATCAAAACACAAGACAGGTTTTCTCAATTGGCAATATACTTTACAAAAGTTGTTTCAGACTTCAGCTATTGAAAATGTTTTACTTCTAAAGACAGCTCTACAACTCATAATTACCATACTTATTTCAGACCTTTCAAAACAATTTAAAACTTTTCTTTAGACTGCCAGAACATTTTTCTTCATGACGTACACCAAACAACGCAGGACATAAGCGAGCCGCTTTTGAGAACATTCAAATCAGTTTTCTATACCTAAGATTTTTACATGATCTCAACTCTAAAAATACATTTAAAAGCCTTTCCTTGCTCAAGGAAAAGAAACACTTACTGTAATAACGGCCACATCAGGAACGAAAAGTACAATAAACAAGGCCTGTTTACAGAGCGGGAGAGAAGCAACACACATTCAACGAGGAAGACAGGCTAAAAATTACAACTGAAAACAATAGCCAGAATGTCGAAAGCGAGTTTTCAAAAGGCAAGGTGTTGGGCACAAGTTGCCCAGACGTTGGGTTAGCACGCACTGCAACCACAGCCTCAATAAATCGTGGAGGTGGTGGTCGGCGGCGAGGGGATTGTTGAGGATAACGTCAATAAATAAAAGTCAGCACAGTTCTGCGAAGAGCGAGTTGGCTGCCTGTCCGCTGCTGCAGGTAACTGGATCTGTGCATTGGGAGGGGGAAGGTGGAGCTGGGAGTGAGAAGGGGAGGGTGGTGAGGGCGATTCACCCACTCCCCACCCCCTGAATGGCACCGGGACAGTTTAAGCCAGTTTAAGTATACGTGGCATTTGTAGCCCGACGTTGTGGAAAGTAATGCAGCTGAATGGGAGGGAGTAGATGAGGGGGATGGAGGGAAGGGGGTGGGGGCTGGAAAATAGAGGCCACCAGCTCCAAACGAACTTCTAGCGGTCTGGCAATGCACAGCAGCCGGCTTTCACAGCAAACTTACCCCGCCGAAGTTACTAAAGCGAGTCCTGCAGGGACTCCGCAGCTTCATCCGCTGTCCTTTTCTTTCTCACTCTCTCTCTGTGTCTCTCCGTTCCCTCCTCCCACCCCGAACCAACAACCCTTCACTCACTGCCCAGGACGTCAGCGCTCAGCAACACTGTACACACCGGCGCCATCTTGGAATGAAGGGGCGCATGCGCGCCGCCGCAGCCGCGCGCGGGCCACGCCCCCTCCGCTTGCCAGCCCGGGACAGCGCAACAGGGAGTAATTGGTGCTGGAGAGAGTCAGTGTGCGCGTGGCGTACTGCTGCTGGAGAAGGTCAGTGTGCATATGGCGCACTGCCCCTTAAGAGGGTCAGTGTGCATATGGCATACTGTTGCTGGAGAGGGTCAGTGTGCTGTTACTGCTGCTGCTGAGAGTCAGTGTGCATATTGTATACTGCTGCTGGCGAGGGTCAGTGTGTTGTTACTGCTGCTGGATGCAGTGAGTGTGCATATTGCATACTATTGCTGGACAGTGTCAGTGTGCTGATACTGCTGCTGTTGGATATGGTGAGTGTGCATATCGCATACTGCTGCTGGAAAAGGTCAGTGTGCTGTTACTGCTGCTGCAGAGGGTAATTGTGCATACAGCTGCTGGAGAGGGTTAGTCTGCTGATACTGCTGCTGTTGGATACGTGAGTGCTCATGTTGCATACTACTGCTGGAGCGCATCAGTGTGTCGTTACTGCTGCTGCTGGATACAGTCAGTGTGACGATTGCATACTGCTGCTGGAAACGGTTAGTGTGCATATTGAAAACTGCTGCTGAGGGGGTCAATGTGCTGTTACTGCTGGAGAGAGTCAGTGTGCGTACCGCAGCTGCTGCTGGAGAGGGTCAGTGTGCATATTCCATGCTGCTGCTGGAGAGGGTCAGTGTGCATATTGTATGCTGCTGGAGAGTGTCAGTGTACATATTGCATACTGCTGCTGGAGATGGTCAGCGTGCATATTGCACAGTGCTGCTGGAGAGGATCAGCGTGCATATTGCACAGTGCTGCTGGAGAGGGTCAGCGTGCATATTGCACACTATTGCTGGAGAGGGTCAGCGTGCCCATTGCTGCTGCTGCTGGAGAGGGTCAGCGTGCACACTGCTGCTGCTG